CGAATAGGTGTTATTTGAGGGAATCACGGCCTCAACGGAATTTACTCTCTAGGATATTGAGGGCCTATTCGGAATCCACTCATACGATGATTCATCCCAACATTCACGTTTGGGCATGGTGACCGATTTATCGATTCATCTGGACGTGATTCACTTCCTTACACGACCGACAGACATCAATTACCGCCGGGTTCGTTCATTTGCGTCTATAACGCACACTCAAGCAACGATCACAGACATAACGCTCCGGGGTGGGTCCGTGGGGGACGGAACAGCCAATCCCACCGAGACTTTCATCCTCTCTTGTTCCCCTTTTTGTGTTGTTGTGTCGGGCTGTCTGTTGTGGTTATCGATTTTGTCTTCATCTCGCTCGGTAACTCACTCAAAAAGTGCTGTTCTTTGAATTCGTAGAAGTGAGTTCATTCGGATTGAGCTTGAAATTGATTTGACGTAAAGAGGTGTGTTCTTTAACTGGGGGAGGAGTGTGCTGTTTCCAGTGCACAATTCTGGGATTGGCTGCATAGTTTGTTCGGTTGACAAACGATTGTAACGGTTGATTGAATACATTAGTTACACCATCTCTTTTGAGATGTTGAGATGCAGTGGAATCGTCCGGGACGTATGTCGTCCAATGTTACTATACTGACTCCTCTTCTGAAGTCTATAAACGGGGAAAGCCCGCTTAAGTTTCATATATTATCCTTCAGAAATCACTTCCCTACATTTCACCAGGCCGCGGTCCGGCATCTGTTGTCACGTGATATAGCGGCAAGAACCGTTCCCCGCAACATTATTGAGGCACCAGCAGGATTTAAAATGCACACTTTAAATGTACTGCCTAATGTGCATCTGTAGTCTATCCAAAGAGGATTACGTAAACGTTAATTCATGGTACTCACATAGCAAATCATCAATAATGTAATTTGATTGAAAACCGTTCCGATTATGGAAACTAAATGGTTGTATGTGCAATTGGACAGACATGTTTTGTTTGGTTCAGCGTTTTCCGTAAACCAGTTATTATCTATCTCAATATTACAACCCATTCATACTAATAGACGAGACCGAGTTCGAGCTTACGGTAATTTTTCACCCAAGTTCACCACGGAAAGTGGTGTTCGACATGGTTGTCCTCTCTCTCTGTTTCTATTTACCTTTGTCATCGATTTACTCTTCGAAACAGTTGTATCCTCGTGCGAGAATAGCCGTATCGATTCACTCTCAGGTGGAACACTGCCCGATCTAGAGTATGCAGACGACATTGTGCTACTCAGTGAAGATTCAAGTAAGTTGCAAGCTTTTTCTATATCTCACCCGGCAGACGCATCACAGATGAAGTGTTGGCGCGCATACAAAAGGCTCGGTTGGCATTTGCCAACTTGAGACATCAGTGGAGCCGTCGCGACATCCGGCTATCTGTGAAGGATTGAGCATACGCTGCATCAGTTCAGCCAGTACTGCTCTACGGTGCAGAGACTTGGCCACTACGAGAACAGGATAAAAATAGATTGTCGGTGTTCGAACACCGCTGTCTACGTCGCATTGCACGAGTCTGGTGGGGTAACCGGACGAGCAATGCTGCGGTTAGGCGTAGAGTTTTAGGTAGTGACGGTCGTCGACTGGAGCAAGTAATCGGTTTCCATAGACTACGTTGGTTGGGACATGTCACCAGATAGGCTGCCACGGCGAGCGGTTTGCCGAGGCAAGGAGCAGTAGGAAAAATGTCAAAGGTGCTCAGTGGTCCTATGCATCTACTAATTATTCTATTAACACAAGTCTATATGAATTCGTTATCGTCCGCTTGAACTGGCCTTCAAAATACCCTTTGTCCTTTGCTTTTATCCAAATGGGCGGCCAAAAGACAGCAACCAGAACCGGCGCACGAAAGTGCATGGTGAATGGTTGTAAAAGCTGAACTGAACCGAGTTATTATCTGAGAATGAAAGTGTATCAAAACTGTTGGTGCCTTTTTCAACTTTCTAAATCTTATTAAATTGGGTTCACAAAATGGAATGAGAAAGAATTTTGTTTTAGGATTTACGTAGCTTACTGCTTTCACTGCTTCCTTATCAAAAGCAAATACAACTTCAACGCCCTGTGTATGGTGAATATTGGCAATATAATTATTGAATACTTACATGGTCAACTTCAAACGGGTCTCAAATTTCAGTGCTTTGGCTGTTAAAGGAAATGAAGGTATTTAGATTGAGACTTTGCAAACAGTACTGGTGAATTTCGGATCTCAAATAATTTCGTAGTTCCTTAATTACTGAACCTGTCTTCAGGAAATGTATGCGATTTAGACTAAAATGACATCAACTGTCTGTCAGAATGCAAGCGAACTTGATAGACTAACGACCACCATTTTTCCCTTCGACACACTTTCAGAATGTGAAAGGGTGCTAGAAGGATGGTTTCATGCATCCGCCTCTCTTGCCCAAGGCATGCAGGACGCGTTTCCGCTACTGCTTCTGAAGCAGTCGAATTCCTAAAAGTCCAATTCGATGAAGTGTTCGCTGCAGGTGAAAAGGTCGGATTGCAGCTTCCATACCTTCTGCCAAGTGTCTCATACCCCGAATTGATCACCGTCAATTTCAAGTATGAAACGGTAAAAGCCAAACTATTGGCACTGCGTAGGAATTCATCTCCAAGGGAAGACGACATCCACCCACAGACCCTGACATACTTGGCAAATCACATACTTGAAATAACTGCTCATTTATACCAAAACATGTTCGACAAGACGAAGATCCCTCAGTATTGGAAACACGGTATCACTTCACCCATTTACAAAGGTGGCTACAGAAGGAATCCTGCGAACTGCCGTCCAGATACACTTCTTCCCGTTATGTCATAGGTAATGGAATCGATTGTTGCTGATTCCCTGATGGAGCATTTCGAGAAGTATAACATTCTTTCGCCGGCCCAACACGAATTTCGGAGAAAACGTTCGTGCACCACAAAAGTGCCACTTGCACGAGATGAGTGTTCAAGATCAGTTAACGCGGGAGGAGGGGGGAGAGGAGGAGGACAGTAAACAGTCTACTTAGACTTCTTCAAAGCTTTTGACAGTGTTAACCACCGTATACTGCTGTGAAAGCTCCATCACTACAGTGTTCGAGGACTGCTCCTTGACTGGATTGAGGAATTTCTTCGACAACGTACCGCACCTGTTCGAGTTAATGGTTCTCTATCGGGATCGATTGACGCTGTCCGTGGAGTTCCACAAAGATCCGTACCTTTTCCTAGTATTAATAAACGACCAACCAGCTGTCCTTGGAGAAGAAGCACGATTATTCGCTGAAGACGCCAAAACATGGAGGATGGTACAATATCCTGAAGATTGTGAAACCCTGGAGAAAATCTCGAAGCAGCTTACCGATGCTCTATCAGTAATGACATTGAATTCAACGGTGAGAAATGCAAGGTTGTATCGTTGCGTCACAGGGGCCGCTTTCCATACTTGGAACTCAGCCATTACCGCGTTCTCCAAACGAAAACGGTCTGGGAGTTATTGTCCGTGAGGATCCAGTATGTTTCAGACATTTCAAAGATTTTTGTACCAAGATTTGTTTGGTACACAGTCTGGGGTTAGATGTGTGTGAAACGCATATGACTACATAGCGCATGAGCATCATCGAAGGTCATAAAGCACGTTGGGTTGCTAAAACGTGTTTGGATCATTCAAAGCGGACTTATTTTCCCGTTGGTTATCAGCATACATAGGATCACACACTGAGTATGCTTTATAGGCTTGGAATTCATGGCTAATTCGCGACTAAAAGGAACTGCGCAGAGAACAGAAAATGATCAACAGATTACAATCTAAAACCTCCGATGGAAGGCTACGTATTCTCGAACTCCATTCATCTGAATACCGTCGAATAGAGAGAGACATAATCCTCGTATATCAAATACTACATCAATCTAACCACTCGAGTAGTACTCTACTAAAACTATTCATGAACGGTCACCTCAGAGGACATCCGTTTAAACTTTAACTCCAAAAGAGTCGGCTAGACTGTAGGCATCACTCTTTCAGTCTCAGAGTTTGTAGTACCTGAGACTCTATCACCTCAAGTTGTTTGCACACCAACCATCGTTTCATTCAATTTACGGCTCGATAAAGCATTGAAACACCCAACTTTTCAGCACCCGTGAGCGAACTTTATAAGTTGCTATTTGATTGTACTACCAACCGAACCCAGTGTATACAGAACCTATGGGATTCAATAAGTATCAACTTTGTAATTTACCGATAATAAAAATTTGAAATTTGACTGCGACTGATTATTCCCTATGCCTAAGTTGTCCTGCGACGGTGAGGAAATAAAAAAGGAGGCTGCTTGAACATCCGAAAACGTGTACCCGACTGAAGCAAGTTTGACGTCCGTGGGGCATTGTAGGTGACGTTTGATGTACCACAGTGCGGCCAGTTTCGGTTTACAACATATCCAAAGATTGCTCAGTTTAATGATGGTAAAATGCAACGATCCTACTAGTGATACCAAAACAGTGTTTTCTGTCTTCACTCATGGTTTTAGTAGTGATACCAATTCGTTTACTGAAGTGAAAGGGCCCGTTCCAATAGCTAGACTGCACTGTTATTTCATGAGAAATGGTGCTTGAATATATCTGAACGACCAGTTGTGGGAAACAACGAGGACACGGTAGGTTGAAATGGGTCGAACAAGTGACAAGTGAAAACGCAGTCAACGCGGCCGTGTGCTTATCCGCATATATGTATATGTCAGGATTAGAAACAAAAGTGGGCAAGAAGATTATCGATGTAAAGTATCGTTGTCAAAGCGTAGTCGCAACTTCCAATGCATGTTGCACATATCGGTCGTATAAGCCAATTACTGATCCAAGGCATTAGTTATCTGCGTTTGAGCAGAAGTGATTTGCGAAATTTTGTAATTTCGTAATACCAGTTCGCGTGACGAAACGCCGTAATGAGCCCAGATTAGGCAACAGTCAACAGTATTTTCTGTAAGGATTTATTCGGTAAGAATCAGCTCGTCAAGGCTCCAGTCTTCAAAACTGCCGTCCGGTAAATATCTCCGGATGATAATCGGAATTTTATTTGCGCGAAGCTCCTTTTCCGCAATCTTGAGTGGATCACGTTCTCCGTCCAATTCAACCATGACCGGGGCGGACATAGACAATTGTAAAGCTCGCGCACCAAGGACCCGTGCTCGTTCATATTTTGTCAAATATGGTGTTGTAATTCGTTTGCTTTTCTCCACTGGACCAGCCATCGCTGCACTTGAGCCGATACGAGACATGTCATCTGCAGACACATAAGTGACGGCTTCTAAAATGATAAAGTTGAAAATATTGGTTATCAGAAACAATTAAACTTAAGATTCACCGAATTTTAATAGAGAACATAAATCATGAGGGAATCAAGTAATTTCAAAATAAGCAGTGCATAGCACAGACTAAAAAACAGGGATCATGCCAATATGGATCACTTGTCTAGGCAGCAGATGAAATTCGGCCAGATGTAGCAAATGATAGAAAACGACTGCTACGTTCTCGCAAGACTTCCGGATTGAAATTTGCGGCTTCGCCAAATAATGATTGATGGTAGTGAAAATGGTTTCATTTCAGGTAATTAGGTAATTGATCACTGATGCAGATAACGAATCGCTTAAGCCAATAAATAACATTCAACATAGAAATGGTTATGATAAGCAACAAAGAGTATTGGACAGCTGTTTCGTCCTGTTTGGGACTCGTCAGCAATGTGTACTTTTGTGTCCCTGTCAGGACTTGAACCGCGACTCTTCGGGCTGGGACTTCAAACCCTTACTCTTGGGCTACACGGTCGATGGTTATCACCTTATGCGAATGGCTTAATCAATTTAGGTGGTGAATGTTTGGATTAGCCCATTCGGTTTTTCACAGGCACCAGGCACTGCTGGTGATGTTCGATGTGGGTTACACTGCTTGGGAGATCGTTGATTCCCCATTGTTGTTGCTTATCACAACCATTTACATCGCACAAAAATGCAAACACAGTGGGGAATTAACGATCTCTCAAGCAGTGAAACCCACATCGAACATCATCAACAGTGCCTGTGAAAAACCGAATGGGCTAATCCAAACATTCAACATAGTTAACACAAGAAATGGGGTGACATTTCAGACATAATGATTCACTTTTGGCTGCGTACGTGTGTGAAATGAATCCGAGTCACATGTTCTAGTTACAAGTTGCTGAGGAAAGTAAAGTGGGCCAATGGACCTTAGGTACTTGCCCACTTTATCCTCCTCCACATGCCCAACCAATTAAAAATTTGAAACTTATGTTTCAGTTTAGTGTGCACAGGATCGGAGATGGCAACGGTTAGTCAAACGTCCAGAATACCTTCAATAGTATGCACCCACGTTTGGCAACCTCCACTGCATATTGTAGTTCATTCGTTTCTTGCTAAAAATGAGGTATATACATACTGCTTTTAGGTCTCTTTATTATGCAGTAAAGATGCCTTCTTTGAGCCCCAGTGATTGTTTCTCAGGCCTTTGATGACATTTTACTTTATTACACACCTCAGTGTAATCAACAGCAGACAAGGTAAACCCTCGTAGTCACCAGGACCTGCTGCCCGATGATGGAAACTGATAACCCAAGTTGGGATGACGAATCAAATAAGCCACTTCTGGGTCAGGCGTGTTACTGAACCGGATGGCAATAAAAGCGACTACGTGAGGCCCCAACTGAGAACAGTAGCAACATCGTCACTCAAACCCTCTAACCTTCGGGAAATCAAGGTCTTTACACGTCTGTGAAGGAAGGGTTAAGTGATTGGAGCGTTAAGACAAGAATTTTGCTCAGGGCAGAAATAGGGTGAGTCCAAATACAGATCTTTGGGATATCTCATTAGTGACGTTCTCGAGGTTCGATTTGGCATCACCTATTCCGACGTAAAAGTTCTCTTATTTAGGAATTTGGATATCCAGATATGTATATAGACCTCCAAACCAATCTTTCAGATTGGTTACCAGAAATCGATGGTTCACGGAGCATAATGCCTTGTTGATGTCAAGATAGCATATTTGTTTCTGTCTTCGTCCGATCTGAAAGAGACTTCATTTAAGAAAATCAAGAGACTGATGAGACAACTTACTTTTCATGAACCTAGGCTGAGTCCTGATTTGCCATTCCTGCAATTTGCAAAAAACGCTGTTTAGGCTTACCGGTCTGTAATTGTTAACTTCTTTTTATTAGACAATGCGATGAACAGTAGAAGGGGTAGACCCCATATACCGGTGTTCGGTTAAGGAAACCGGTAACCTAAGCCCCGGGATTTGTAGTGGCGAGTTACAAAAGATATCGCTAGGTTAGGTCAACTGAATCGAAGGCTCCTTTTAGGTCAAGTTCAGTACAACCATGAACCAAGCAGTTTCGTGCGCTGGTTTTGGATATCACGCAGTGTTTTACTAGTAAGGCCAGCCAGTCAGAAGTTTTAGAATTCTGGGATCCAAAATTTCCTTTTCACTCGGTTGCGTTCGATTTCCGCACACTCTACTAGATCGGTCAACAAGCTGCCTTAGCTAGAACCCTTGAAACTTTTCATCTAGATATATGCTGTCTCCGAAACACGTATACAAGAACCCACTTCAATCATCTTGAGTTTTTTGATCCAACCTCATCCTCACACTTCATTCTTCGTGTGTCAGGTGATTTGGCATCCGAAGCTCGCGGTGTTGCTTGTGCTGGGATTGCGCTAAGTGCTGAGCGCTCGCTTCTTGACTGAATTCCAGCCAGTATCTGATTGTGTGCAGTACGTCTGAACGGTTCAATACGGGTCAACAGCTACAGAGCGAAGCGTCGATGCTTATTCGTTGTATCGGTGTATGCACCGACCAATTGTAGTACACCTGATAGTGAGGATGAATTCTACAAGGATCTTTCTAATTAGTCAAAAGTGATCGATCAACGGACGTCGTAGTAGTCGCTGAAGTCTTCAATACTCATTTGGGATCCCTGGATAAGTCAGAAAGGTTTCTTGGCCGACCACATGCAATCTCAGCTAACCGGAGTAACAACGAAGATGGCCTACTTCAACTCTGCGCGGACTACGGATTATTCCTGTCAAGCATCGACTTCTAGCACAAGAAACGACACCGCCTTACATGGAAACTCCCAAACTCTTCACAGCGCTGGACCCAAATCGTTATCAGTAACCGCTGGAGGGGGTCGATTCAAGACTGACGCTCTTCTTGATAAACACCTTTGGATATGGATCACGCTTTGTTACGAGCCGAATTCTCCTCACGCCTGTCAAACAACCGCATATATATATATATAACACCGGTTTGAAACCAAGCAAGATGGCAACGCCGCAGTTTCAGTTTGAACAACCATTAACCATGCACTTTCGTGCGCCGGTTTTGGCTGCCCATTGGGATGAAGAATAGGAGAAGGAAGGAAAGTGGATTCGAAAGGAAAATGGAGAAGTTCAGTGGACTAAGGTTGGGAAGAAATTGAGGAGATGCACGAACGCCACTGTTTACGACACCCAGCCATATCGCTCAGTGTCTCTAACCATCGGTTACGATCATCCCGCCTAACAGGACCTATAAGACCCAGTATCCTGGTTAGGGTTTTCGTACCCTCGTGCCAGATCTTAACTTGACCACCCTTGGCTTTTTTCCACTCT